TTCAATTTCAGGAAGGATTCCACTGATCACTTTACTCACTGCTCTATCTATTGCTCATGATTCATCCAATTTTAAGCCAACTAAGATGCACTTCCAGACATGGCCAGACATGCCTCTTAGATGAGGAGATGATAACAGCAGAATTATCACACAATGAAGAAGGAAACCAGGATGATCGCTCAAAAATGTAAGGTACATGGGCCCCTTCCCCAACTAATACTCACACTATCAAAGATTTCATTTACTCCATATCCCCTCAACAGTGAGTCAGTCTCTTTCCACTAGGCTTCTCCTGGGTTTCTTTCAATTTAATAGGCCATGATTTCTTTGACCCCTTTCCAAAGAACCCATCTTCACTAATGAACTGAACCAATCTCACATCTCTCATCTTTATGTCCTTCTCATCCCTCCCAAAGAACTCTATTTCATACTTAAGATTTATCTCAATTCCAATTCTCTCTGGATCTTTTCTACCTATGCTTTTCTTATTTCTACAGAGATTTTCTTGTTAACATATCCAATACCATAGGATATACGTAAATTTTCAGAATAACACTGGAAATAATGCATCATCATATCAGAAATCTTGTTCTTTGAATTTTGTCCTGCCAATTAGTATTGACTTTTCTATCTTACACAAACTTTATGTTCCATTCAGAGTAATCCAGGTTCATGCTACACAACTTTTTGGGCTATGTATATATAGCACAGGCACAACGTATTTGCTAACATGAACTAACTGAGTACTTGCTATGAATGTTCAGTACAAACTAAGGGTAAGTTTCTGCTTCACAGATATCATACCAGGGATTTCCAGAGTGTGTTTCCTCTCTGAAAATGCAGAAATCTGAGACCTCCTGAAAGACAATTTTTGAGATAAGGGCTCAGAGACATTTTTAATAAGCTACCATGATTCCAACTAAGCCTAAGTATCTTCACACTGAAGAATCAACATGTGAATCTGAACAATTAAGAAACAAAATAATAAAACATATAGAGAGTAACACTTTGAAAAAGCCATTGTTTTTGGACTCTTACTGACCTTAATGCAAATTCCACTTCACTGACTTTCCTCCTACCTTCTCAAAGCAAATGATTTCACCACTCTGAACTTCCCTTTCTTCACTAATAAGTTGCTGTATCTATTAGCTACTTGCAGGGTCATTAGGGACGAGGGAAAATATGTATTTAAGATACTTAGCATCATGCTCAATAAATGAGAAATACCGTTTGTCTGGGTCACTGTGTTGCAAATGGTCCCTAACTGTGAAATATTGCAGCCCTGATAGCCATCATTTACTAAAAGGAATAGGATAGCATATGTGCTATGAGAATTTGGAGAAGGTAGTTTTTGTTATTTTTATGGATAGAAGGCAGACATGCCATGAGAAAAAAGCTGGCATATAGATTTAAGACAGTAATTTTATTCAAAGATGAATGGTTGACTGACAAATGCATTAAGAAAATGTGCTATTTATACACAATGGAATTTTATGCAGCCATGAAGAAGAATGAAATCTTATCATTCACAGGTAAATGGATGGAATTGGAGAACATCATTCTGAGTGAGGTTAGCCTGGCCCAAAAGACCAAAAATCGTATGTTCTCCCTCATATGTGGACATTAGATCAAGGGCAAACACAACAAGGGGATTGGACTATGAGCACATGATAAAGCGAGAGCACACAAGGGAGATATGAGGATAGGTAAGACACCTAAAAAACTAGATAGCATTTATTGCCCTCAATGCAGAGAAACTAAAGCAGATACCTTAAAAGCAACTGAGTCCAATAGGAGAAGGGGACCAGGAACTAGAGAAAAGGTTAGTTCGAGAAGAATTAACCTAGAAGGTAACCCACATGCACAGGAAATCAATGTGAGTCAACTCCCTGTATAGCTATCCTTACCTCAACCAGCAAAAACCCTTGTTCCTTCCTATTATTGCTTATACTGTCTCTTCAACAAAATTAGAGATAAGGGCAAAATAGTTTCTGCTGGGTATTGAGGGGTAAGGAGGGTTAAGGGAGGGAGGGGGGGAAAAAATTTAAAAAAAAAAAAGATGAATGTTGGCAAAATTGTCCTGTTTTCCCCAAAAATTACCTAAGTCTTACCCTCAATGAATTGTGAATAATTTCGAGAAACAATTTAAAAATTACCTAACTGTGTGTCCTTCAACTATTTCAGGATTAAAATTATCTATTTTTTTGCATTGCCTGTGTCATAAAATATTTTCAAGGTCAAAATTATCTCAATTTCTGTGCTATTAACAGCATTTGGATAGTTGTTTGTTTCATGTGGTATATTTTATTCCCAACAAGATGGGAAAATTTTTAAAAAGACTGATTCACAAATATACCATCAGTTCTTTATATCCAAAATGGTGGCTCTGACCTCTGGCAAAGAGGAAGCACTCTTTAGGTTACCAGACTACTTCAGTATAGTGTGGACTGCGGCTTTTCTATCATCTCTTTGAAGAATGATGTGGGAGATGTCCACTGAGGCTCAAGGAGGCTGGACAGACAGATTCACCTGTTGCAGGAAGCTAACTGGCTCAGGAGGACATCTCATGATGATCCTATTAGTAAAACAGGCTAATCAATTAAACTAACTCACTTAGAGTCAATCCTATTAAATCCCATTATTTCTGTGGAGAATCAAGAGCAACTGCCACTCCATTTGAACAAATGGAGAAAAGTTTCAAATTATAGATCCTGCAAAAATAAGGTAACAGCAATTACTGAGTACAAATACAGCATCAGAACTCAAAACAAAATCAGCACTCGACCCACAGGACATTTATTCCTTCTGAGAAAGCCTCCTTTGAAAGGAAGCTAAAACAAATCTTATTATTTCAGGCAACTTCTATTAATGTCACAAAGGGGAAGAGATACAGCCTTTGCTTTTCATATTCCAGTTCATATGCAGGAAAAAAATCTGCATATTATATACACATATATTAAAATAGACTGAGAAATCAACACATATAAATAGCTCAGTGCAACATCTGTAGCAGTCCTTCACAGTATATTAAAGTCCTTGCTGTTTATCAGGTTAGCAAATCACATCAACTCCTAGTTATTTAAATTGCCAGTTGCTGGGCAACCATATCTTTGTCAACTGTCACTCACTCTGAAGTTCCTCTGCAACACTTCCTTAAGGAAAAAAAAAAAACTGTGCAAAAATCTTAAGTCACTTATTTTGGGCATAAGAAATGCACTTCACTTTATCCCTGAGCTTAACAAGTCTGATAATTGAGTGATACAGAAACATAGCCTATTTAGTGAAGTGGAGGAGAGGCCATGTGTGGTATAGGTATCGATACAGCTGCAGAAAAGTTATGGGACCTTGCAACAGGGTAAGTTTCCCTCTCAGGACCCACGGTAGAGGATGTTTGCAATCAAAGCATTCCAATAGTAAATATGTATCTTACAGAAAATAGATGATTCCCAATAAAACCAATGTCTAGTTATTTTTTATAATCCCATTTTCATCATGGAAAGATGAACAAGTTATAATCATAATAACCAACTACTGCTTGCTTCTGATATTGTCTTGTTTTATCTGGATGGTTAGGAACAAAGTGACTTGTTAGCTTCTCATGAAAATTTCTAGCATGTTTTACTTATTTAAAATTTCTAATTAAAATGTACTTAAAATTTCTAGAATGTTTTATTTTATAGATGTAAATAGTAGCCACTATTTTATTCAGTTCAAGAGTTAATTCAAGATTTACTTTACCAGTAGTACAAAGCTTCTATTGGAGGTAAGGCTGCTCAGGCAATGAAGACAGTAGAACCACAGGTACACAATTCATCACCAATATGAGTACTTCTAGAATTGCTACTTCCTTTCTCTCTGCATATCAATTTCAGACCAGATTATCTCAAAAGTTCTTCCGAGCAACATCATTTAACATACTCAAATCTTTAAGTGGTACAGTTCCCAGTTGCAGCCTATATAAAACAGAACCAACCCAATTAATCAGACTTTTTTTAATGTTGATACATCTCAAAAATAAAAGCATATGTCTAGATAACAAAGGAAATTATTAAACTGTATGATTTTCTCTATTATAAAAACTTGTAGGAAACAGAGTTAACTTTATGACTTCAAGTAGAAAGTGACAAAATTTTGTCAACTTTAAAATTAAAACCTTTGTGCAACAAAAGAAACCATTAAGACTAGGCATCACAGTGCACACCTATAAGCCCAGTGTTCAGGAGACTAAATCAGGAAGATCCTGAGTTCAAGGTCAGCCTGGGCTACATACAGAGATCCTGTCTCAAAACAAAACAAAAAACTAAAAGAAACCCTTTAAAAGGTGCAAAGATAAAACAAACTGGGGGAAAGTACTGTAATGAAAGTAACCAGCAAAGAATTTGTAATGATATTATTTAAAGAACACCTTTAGAAGAATAAAAACCAGAACAAAACAAGAAAAATATTAAAAATAAGGAACTGGTAATAAGCAAAAAAAGAAAACTGCAGCCAGTAATTATATGAAAAGCTGTTCAATGAGAAACCAAATCACTCATCAAACTGGATAACATCTTAAACTTTTATAATCCCAGTGTTGGCAAGGATATGGAACACTGAAATTCTCAAGCCCTTTCAGGGAGAGTATAAATGTGCACATACCACTTAGAACAGCTACTTAAGGAGGGGCAGGCTAGCTTACATCTGCAATCCCAGCTACTTGGGAGGCAGAGATCCATCCAGAAGAATCTTGGTTCAAGGCCAGCCCAAAGGAAAAAGTTAGCAAGACCCCATCTCAATCAACGAACCATACATGAGTCACACATCACATCTGTGATCTCAGCTCAAGAGGAGGTACAGGACTGCGGCCTGAGACTGGCCCTGGTATAGGACTGTCGTCTGAGACTGGCCCTAGTATAGGACTGTGGTCTGAGACGGGCCCTGGGCAAAACTTGAGACCCCACCTGAAAAATAACTAAAGCCAAGAAGGATTGAGGGCCTGGCTCGAGTGGTAGAGCACCTACCTAGTAAGCACAGATCCTGAGTTCAAACTCCAGTACTGCAAAAAAAAAAAAAAAGAAAGAAAGAAAGTGAATGAGAATGGTAAACACCATACTTAGGATAATAGCCAACTGTGGGGAGTGAATGAATTGTACCCAGAATGCCTGAAGTATATTTTAAGCTTTATTTCTTGAAAAACAAATGTCCTATGGTAAACAAGACAAAAACGTAAGGATACAGCCACAGTACTTAGTGAATAGATAAGTATTTATTCAACTTATTACTCATATTTTTTCTGTATTACCAATAAATTTCATAATAAAAAATAAACAGCATATGCTCAAATGATGTATTTTCCATGCATCCACTGTAAAACAGGCAGAGTGATTCTTTCCAAGTTCACAGAAAATGATCTCACCCAAGGAAGTATCCCTATTAACTTGCCAATTAAAAAACAAAAATGCCAAAAAGCAAACATCAATATTTAGTTCAGTTTTGTAACCTTCCAAATGCACACTGAAGCAAATGGGTTTTTATCTTTGCTTTTATTTTAAGCAATTTCATCTTAAGTCTGAAGAGACAAGATGTAATACACATTGGGAGGATTTTTTTTTCTCTGCATGCCTCCCCAAAGAGTCACACCTAGGTGTGAAGAGATCTTATTTACCAAGTGAGTATTTACAAATTTATAAATTGAACCATAGCAATTGTACTATCACCTTTCAATAAAAAAGTGAGATGGTTTATTTAGAAATAACAGTGTTCAAAGTTTTTAAATAGACAAAACATTGTAAATATCCTCATCAATCCTCCATCAATAAGGATTAATAAACTTACTAGCTAAAAGACATAAACACTGAGGACAAAATATAAATTTACTTTTTGTGGTTTGATGCTTTTCTTCTTACTTATACTTCTGTCAAATATGATACAATTCCTATTTTTCTCTTTTTTAAATGGCAATGTCTGTTTAATGCCCTCTGGGCATTAAGAGAAGATTAGAAAATGACTGTTCTGCTTCTTGGGAAAATGTTAAAAATGAAGGGGTTTTCCACTTTGACTGCTTTCCCTCTTGAACTGGAAAACTTTAACTCTTTCTCTAGGAAGCACTAACAACTTCAAATACCAAAACTAAATTACTTTTGCTAGAAGGAAAAAACAAACACAAGAATAACCGAAGAATCATGTACAACTTAAATATATGACTTAAGATAAAAGTAAAAGCATTTTGCTGCAACCCATTGTTGTTCAAATAAAATTTATTTAATCACTTTACAACCAAGGTCCCTTTCTTTTAATCCTGAGAAATCTAAGTTATTTACTTCTAGGTGGCTCACAATTTAATACCTGTGCTACCAAAATGCCAACCACTATAAAAAGCAATGATAATTGCAGCTATGAAGAAAAACATGTTCACTTGTTGTTTTCCTGGCTAGCCAATCCTGAGTCCAAATAAAATGATGCCTTAACAAACAACTAAATATTAAAAATGAAGACTAGCACTGAAAGCTGGAGGCAGAAGTTAAGGGAGCGAGGTCAACCTGAGCTAAGTAGCAAAACACAGTCTCAAAAAGGGCTAGGATTGTGGCTCAAGTGGTAGAGTGCCTGCCTAGCAAGCAGAAAACCCAGAGTTCAACCTCCAGTACCGCCAAAAAAAAAAAAAAAAGGAAGGAAAGGAGGAAAAGGCTTGTCATATCGTTATGCCTAAAATTAAAGATATGCACACTATTCCAATTAATTCACATAATGTTATTCCTAGTACAAATGGACTAAGAACAAGTTCATTAAAACGGTATAATTAAAGTGTATTATTTTAATGATGCCTTGCATTCATACAGAGCTCTACATTCAATTGCAGAACACTTGATACAGTCCTTCTCCAGTCAGATCCCTTCCCTAAATCTTTGGTCTTCCAGCCAATCAGCATGAAAACGCTTTTGGTTGTAAATCAACATTATTTCATACTTGCTATGTGCCCTTTTTCCAGAGAAATGTCATCTCTCTTCCATCCACCTCTTCTGAGGGGGTCTTGTTGCTCTGGCTAGGATCATATCCTGTGTTAGTTTTAGCTCCATAAATTTATCATCCTAGGGAACTTTGAAACTCTCTAAGCTATTTCTCCCTCCTAGAAAGAAATTCCCCACTCACCTCTGACAGATCACCTGTACCGGAACACATACCTATCAAAGATTTACTGCATCCTTCTATCAATGAGTAAATTATGAACAAGAGATGTTCTCTATATTAAGTAAAAATATACTTCTCTATAACTTCTATTTATTGGCCTACTTCAATCAGTTTTCTGAAGTGATCCAGAATCTCCTTGCTATCTTGGACAGTAATTCGACTGGGTGATACCATGTTTCTTCCAAAGCTTAATTAAATGTCCTCTATTTATTCAATAGTGCTTTAACTCTAATACCATTAGCCCCACAAATAAGCATAGTTCTCACTACTAACTGATGTTAACCTACTGTATGACTGGCATATGTCTGGATAAAACATCAGCAGTATGACAGCACAGATGCTTACCAATTTTATCAATTAAAAAAGCATAGAACTATACCCAATCCCTACTACTACTACTTCATTTACTACTTCAAATTATTTGTCTTCATGTAAAATCACCTTTCTGAATGTGTGTATCCTATCCTACCAGACTACAAACTCCATGAAAGTTAAGATGATATCTGTCTAATTCATAGGAACCAAAAATGAACGCCCAGTAAATGATATATAGTCCACATATCCTGCTGACTGTTCAAATAAAGTCTACCAAAAATATTGCTTCTTCAGGATTTTCACCTGACATAGATGTTCAGCATTACTTACTAACCTAGCTGCTACAATGCCTAAGTATTGACCGTAAATTCTGGGAACCCAAAATGAGTGAAATTTAGTCTTTATGGTTAGAGCATGTTCCCAGAGTTGGTAATGACAAGCTGAGTTCTGGGGGAGAAACAGAAAGATGCCGTTTGATATATATATATATATATATATATATATATGTATATATATATATATATATTTATAATAAGTATACAATAACACAAGATCCTTCTGTGTCATTTTTAGACTTCAGGGAACTTCTGAGACTTTAAGAAGGTAGGAAGAAAAGTACCAGGAATGAAGGACTGTGGTTGAATTTAGAAAAAGGATGGTCTAGAAACTTCCTGTGGAGTGAGTGAGGTGGAAGCTGGGGAGAAGATGGAAAAAGGAAAGGCAATAGATTGAAAAGTTATCAGGGTAATTGGAGGCATGAAAGAACTTAGAGGAGAGTAGACATCATTGGGTTAACATTTATGAAAAAAAAAAGGAATTTGCTAGTCAAGAATGCTGCAGGTAGTAGGGGAAGCAATGAGTAGAGGCGAGAATATTGAGTAGGAAGCCACTGCAGGATTCCAAATAAGAGAGAAACAGGGACTGAACTGGGATAATAAGACTGGGGCTGGACCAGATGGAATGAAGCACAGAAGATTCAAGGAGGTAGGATCAATAGCACCAAAAGATGAGGGGGTGAGTGAAACAAGAAGTCCAAGATGCCCCCCAAGGTTGCTGAGACAGAGGATCAGAAAGAGGTTCCAATTACAGAAATCAGGAATAAAGAAAGAGGAACAGCAAACAACTCAGAAGCCTTCACTTCCCATGAAATCTGGGAAGAAAATATACCAAAATGTTAAGTGGTTCCCTCTAAGAGCTAGAATTTAGGGTGATTTTATCTTCTTTATTCCTTTCTTTAATTTCCAAATTTTCTAAAATAAGCATGCATTATTCATAATCAGAAAATATTTTTATTCCCCAAATTTTTCAGCCACACTGGTTTATTATTTATTTACTTCCCACCAAAAAGTAACGAAAGTCATTAAAAACAAAACCAAGTTCACATGTAGATAGTCTTAGGGTTTTGGACTTTTTTTTCCCATAAAGATAGCCAGCAACAGACAAGACAGTGACACTACCAACTAGCCCGCATCAACTTAGGCATTTTTCTTCTAATAAGGTTTTCTGTCACTTGCCACAGAATTTTTATATAATCCTGCTGTAAGGATTTGCCATGCTCAACCATTATCTTCACCAAATCAATGGGTAAAATAAAAAGGACAGTCGCTTCCTATAAAAATTAAGTTTCTTTTAATTCTTACTTATAGCAGCAATTCGTCTTATTTACATTCTTAAAACTCTCACATGGTAATTTGAGCAGATTCTGCCATCACCTTGCCAGTAAAAACAACTTAGAAAATATAAGCATTAACATACAGAACTTTATCCAAAATGTCTTAATGCAACCGGTTGCATGGAAAAGATTAGAACTAGTATAACTACATTTCCTGATTTCTTCGATGAATTTTTTAGAGGTTTTGGGAAAAAAAAATTATTACTGGTATTTGCCAAAAAAAAAAAAAAATCCAAGTAAGACACTGCAGAGATTTACTGATTCAATGATAGGTCTAAGCATATCAGTTTATAAAGAAGGGGGTACAAATCTTGCCCTTGTATTACTTACATTTGAGTGAGGAAGTGGCAGAGGTTAGTTTTGAAAGCATCTCAAACAGGTTATTATATAAAAGTCTGAGGAAGTCCAAACCCTGTGAGACCTGAAGGATGGGACTGAAGGACCCAGTGGGGGCTGACACATCTAACAACTAGGTCCAAGGCTTCTGCTGCTGCTCTAATGGAGAAAGGGAAGAGGCGCCCTCAGTTTGGTGCAGTGCTTGCTGCTATGGATTTACTCCACACACTTAGAGTGAGGACAGGTGGAGTCAGAAGATAGGAACATGAAGCTGAATTATCAAGCTGTCAAGCCCTTGGGAAGAGGACCTGACTGAGTTTCACTTCAAAGGAAGTATAAAGCTGCAGCCCTGTGGGCTATTACTGATGAGGTCCTGTGCAAGAGTGAGCTGGGAGGTCATCAGACTGGCATGAGATGAGCTGATCTCAGAAAGGACAAAACTATAGGGCAAGTGTCCCTTCTGCTCAAAGCACAGAAGCAGCTAGAGAAATAACAACAAAGTTATCTGTGATGATGCTAATCTTATCCCAATAACAACTATACAGTAA